AGAGAGACAGAGAGAGAGAGAGAGACAGAGAGAGAGGCACAGAGAGAGAGACAGAGAGAGAGGGAGAGAGATAGAGAGGAGAGAGGGAGAGAGAGAGAGCGAGAGAGAGAGAGAGGAGAGAGGAGAGAGAGATAGAAGAGAGAATAGAGATAAGAGATAATATACTTATGTCCAGGATACTATCGATCTACTCTCTCTCTCTTATCTCTGCGAGAGAGAGAGAGAGAGAGAGACCATCACCGAAGTGACTTGGACACTTTCATCACAGAGGGACGTCCATCACTCTAGAGTCGGCAGGGCTGAAGTTAATTGGGTAGTAGTGTGTGTTTCATCCTGTTGGCTGTTTAAATGAGGGAAAGATAGTGTCTGTCACCCTCCTATTCCAGCCCAGTCTCTAAGCCCAGCCCAGCTGAGCCCCGGGCCCTAGGGCCATTAGGTGTCAGTCTAAATATATTTTCATTACAGTGGGGTTAACAATTGGGAAATTACAATGCTCAGAACAATTCAACCCGTCTTGACATTTCCTCTAGCAAAAAAATATATTTTACTGATATTTCCCTCTCCAAAAAATTACAGCCCGTGTGTGATATGCAAGAAGCCCCATCCCCCTCCTCCCCCCGAAAATATATTGACTTCCTGTCAAAACCAAAGCCTGTGACATTCCATTGTTCCATTGCACATTGGTGATTGAAAAATCATAATGTGTACCCACAAGACACATTAGTCTCGAAGCAACCAAACATATGATAAACGACTTATTTATGCGTTTATTATTTTTTTCGCATTTTATTTCCTTTTGGTGGATCGTTAGCTCATGCCCTCAGTGAGGAAATCAAAGCGGGAATGCATCTCTCACATCCTGGCCACTCTGCTAGGCTATCAGCCGCTAAGCCCCCTTGTGTGATTTGGGAAAGGCGCAAGTGATTGCGGCCCATAATGCGTTGAGCACCCCTTCCCCATTTCCTATATGCCGTGTTTATGGAGCGAAGAGTGGGGAGCATTCATCGCTTCCATGATCCTCTCTTGTTTCCGAGCTACCAAGTGACTGGGACTATTTTCCAGGGTGCGCCACTGATGACAGATACAGTGTAAGAGGCCTTAGAGAGGGTCATGATGAGGCCAGAGTGTTACAACACTCCAAAGCAGACTCATTTGTCTGACTGGAGGGATTTACATGACAACATGCTTCTTCACTCTCCATACAGCAATTATCCTCCTTCCCTCTTATTCTCCTTTAAATCCCTCCTTTATCTCGCTGGCTTTCTAGCATATTCTCTGTCTACATGTTTTCCCTAGTGCTATGCGTATCCCCAGCGCTAGCTAGCTAGCGTCATCCCCTGTCAGTCAAATAGACTGGATGTTCTCCCTCACGAATTAGAACACAGAACATTCATGTGGATTCAGCAGGGGGAAATAACACACAATACAGCCATGTTGGAATGATAAGGGAGAGAGAGAGGGAGATGGAGGTGGGGGCAGAGAGAGAGAGAGAGGGAGATGGAGCAGAGAGAGAGGGAGCAGATAGAGAGAGAGAGGGAGCAGAGAGAGAGGGAGCAGAGAGAGAGGGAGCAGAGAGAGAGGGAGCAGAGAGAGAGGGAGGAGAGAGAGAGAGAGAGAGAGAGAGAGAGAGAGAGAGAGAGAGAGAGAGAGAGAGAGAGATACCCGCTACAATCGTGCAGTACAGTCAGCAGCAAGCAGTTTAGCAGTTACACCGGTGGGCCCCGGTAAACTAAAGTAGCTAGCTGCGTTTGCTAGCTAAGTGAAAAAAAATACAACAAAATATAGTTAGCTCTCTTTCGCTCGCTTTCTTGCTTCTCCTTCATTTTTGAAGAAATTAATTTGTTCAAAACTGTTCAACTATTGTCTTTCTCTCTCTTTGAGTCAACTACTTACCACATTTTATGCACTGCAGTGCTAGCTAGCTGTAGCTTATGCCTTCAGTACTAGATTCATTCTCTGATCCTTTGATTGAGTGGACAACATGTCAGTTCATGCTGCAAGAGCTCTGATAGGTTGGAGGATGTCCGGAAGTTGTCATAATTACTGTGTCTATGGAAGGAGGTGAGAACCATGAGTGTCCTAGGTTTTGTATTGAAGTCAATGTACCCAGAGGAGGACGGAAACTAGCTGTCCTCCAGCTACACCATGGTGCGAACCATGAGTGTCCTCCCCTTCCTCCTCTGAGGAGCCTCCACTGTTCCCTCTCCAAGAAAATGACAGCCCGTGTGTGATATGCAAGAAGAAGCCCCATCCTCCTCCTCCCCCCGAAAATATATACATTTCCTGTCACAATCAAATGCCTTTGGCATTCAACTGTCAACTGGCATTCAACACGAGCAGTTCATAGCATGGGTCATAGCATCGGTGCTAGGGGATCGTTAGCTCATGCCCTCAGTAAGGAAATCGAAGCGGCAATGCATCTCTCACCTCCTGGCCAGCTGGCTAGGCTATCAGTCGCTAAGCCCCCCTGTGATTTGGGAAAAGCGCGAGTGATTGCGGTCCATAATGCTTTGAACACCGCCACCCCCACGACCCCCTTTCTAGCATGTTCTCTGTCTACGTGTTTTCCGTAGTGCTATTCTTATCCCCAGCGCTAGCTAGCGTCATCCCCTGTCAGTCAAATTGACTGGATGTTCTCCTTTTAGAACACAAAACATCCATGTGCATTCAGCAGGGGACGAGACACCAGGGGATAACACACAATACAGCCATGTCCTAATGATAGAGGGAGAGGAAGAGGGAGAGGAAGCTGGGGGCAGCGAGCAGTGTTGGGGAAGCTACTCTGAAAATATTGTTTACCAAACTACCAATTACTTCACACTGGAAGAAGTTAAGCTACACTAAAGATACCCTAAAGAAAAATATAGTTTACTTAAAGGTCATGTTCATTCAATATCATGTTTTTCATGAAATTTGATGATATTTGGATGAAACCAGATCAAAGTAGGCTGACCAAAGTATGAAAAATGACTGTTGCTTCTACATTGATCAAGTTTGATCATAAATTTACTTGTCCCCTCCCCCATCTCAAACACTTGGATTCAGGTGGTGGTATTATTAAGGGCATAGGGTGAAATCACCCAAACTCTCATTTTAATACACCAATGGTAACATGATATTCTCTTACCTAATTTAAATAAGTACCGCCTCGTAACCAACATCAGAGAAGGCGTGTTTGCAGAGGGGCGTAGTTTATATAGCTAGATAGCCACCACACTGGTGTCAACATTTGACTGTAGGGTGTCAGCAAATATAATTAAAAGTTTACACTTCATCTAAGATACTTACATGTCTCCCCTTTCATATGTGTCTGTTGTTAGCTAGTTACTGGCTAGCTAGGTCTTCAGCCAGCATGGAACAAAATAAAGGGTTGTTCTAAGCTCTGACGCAGTTGTCATGGCAACACATCCGTCAGTGCTGCTGTGAACCGCATCACAAGAGACATGCCAAATGGGGGATGTATAAAACAATTGACCTCATTAATGCAATTTCAATGTTGTTTGAGTTGCTTTGTGTTTCACCAAATTAGCTTGAGATGATTTTACTGCCACACTGCTCACGGCATCCAAGTTTCTTTACATATGCACTTCAAAGAGTTGTAAATCAAGGTGAGCTCATGAATATAAGATCCCCACCCACTCAGTCTGTCTTTTCAAACTTCAAACTACTTAGTGAACAATTATCATATCTAAATCTAAAATGTCATAGACTACAAATTACAAGAGCAGATCACTCTGGAATCAGATGTTAACGGAATGTGTAATTTAGCCTATTAAATACAAACAGTGTGCCTAAATAAGGCAGGTCTGATGCTGAAAAAGAAAGGTAATTATTGCCTACTGCACCCAAATGTTAGTGTGTAGTTAGCTACACCACAACATGACAAAAAAAGTAATTAACTACTGAAAACAGTAACCAGATTTGAATTTAGTTCAACTACCACCAAGCGACTGCAAAATGTAGTAAAATGACTAGCTGAACAACAGTTCACTACTCCCAAACGCTGGCAGAGAGCTATATGTCAAGTGTGTGAGAGTGAAAAGGAGATACAGAGGGAGATAAGAGGGACTGAGAGATATGATAAGAGAACGAAAGAGAAAGAGAAGGGGAGATGAAGCAGGAGAGTCACTGAAAGATAGATAGAGAGAGAGAGAGAGAGTGTGAGTGAGTTATAGTTAGACAGATAGAAAGATAGATAGAGAAGAAAATATAATATAAAAGCAAGCGGGAGTGAGAGGAAGAGAGAGACCATCACCTAAGTGTACTTGAGCTCCTTCAGCGCAGAGCGACGTCCATCACTCTACAGTTGGCAGGGCTGAAGTTAATTAGGTAGTAGTGTGTGTGTGTCTTCCTGAATAAGTGTTTTAATGAAGACCAGCTAGTGACTGTCTTCTCAGCCTAGATTTTAGAATCTCTGAGCCAGCCAGCCCTGGGCCCTGGCCCTGGCCCTAGGGCCAAATGGTGCCCATCATCATAAGGGCCCATGGAGAGAGGGAGACCGGACCACTGCCACCTGATTCAAGACCCAAATTGGTTCAATAAACCCTCATCAATGCACCCCAGCCCGGTGCTGTCCACTGAGAGGACACACACTGCAGACGGCCAGGCGCACACACACACACTTATATACAAACAGAAAAAATGTGGTTTTCCAAAAGGCCACCTTTAACACACGTAAAGGTCACCTCCCTGACACATCTGACAGCTCACGCACGTTATTATGCACACACGAACACACACACACACATACCCTTGTGTCTTAAGCTGTCTGATTGCCAGTCGTTCAAAGACCTTCCCTTCTCCTCCTCCTCTCTCCTCTCCCTTCCTCTAAACCCCCCCAGCCTAAATTGCCCCTGAATTGACACGTCAGTTTCAATTTGACTCGGCAGGCCCCAAAACAATAACTTCATCAGCCCCTGTTAGTCTCCTCTCCATGAGACAGCCACACAAACAAACACTGATTCCCTCTCTCTTCCGGAGGGCACCTTTTCCTCTGACTGATGTTCAAGAGGTAATAGAATGTCTTCAAGCATCCACCAAGGACCTCACAAATGTTGAATACTTGACTGTTTTAGTTCACTTTCTCTCAGCATACGCACTAACTTCTCACAGTACAACATAACTGTGTACAACAATACTTTTACAGGCTAAAAGTATCACTCGGCTGTATACAGGATTCCCTAGCTTCTGCATAGCTACTGGAAATTCCATATTTCACCTTAGTAGTTTGCTGATGATCACTGCACTCATTTGGGACAGGAGTTGTTCCTGACCGCGTGACCTGATCATGATCAAACTCCTGCCCCTAAGAACCAAATCTAATTTCAGTCTTCTCACTGAGGATCACTACACTCACAGGGGAGAATGTTAGGTACAGGAGTTGTTGGGTGGCCACGATAGAGCGTGGTAAGCTGAGAGGTGATTTAGAATCCAGGCTCTGAGACAGACGGACCGTGTCCTCTCCTCTGCTTTGCTGTCTGTCTATCTGGAGTCTGGACTCCCCCTGGAGAGACAGGGTTGCTGAGACAGCACCTCTAAAACAGGAGAGCCACTGGGCTGACGTGTGTGTCTCTGTCCTCTGGTCAAGGACGAGAGATGATCCTCCCTCACAGTGGGGGGACCAAGTACGTGTGTGGGAGGAGATCAAGAGTGAGTGTGTGGGTGTGTGTAGGGTTGGAAAGTGTTTGTGTGAACAACATGTGGTGTGTGTATGTACGCATACTTGTACTTACTACGTGCCAATGTTCTGCTGAATCTTCCTTGCTGATGTCCATCCTCTACCAAGTCTCCTCCTTCCTTCCACCACTATCACTTTCCCCAACCAAACATGTTGAGCAGCATCTTCACAGAGATAGAGTGAGAGAGAGCTATTATGGCAACAGCACATATGCCCCACATTAAAGGAAAACTAAAAAAAACACCAAAATATAGTAATATATTTAGTTAGGCAGGCATTGAGGGGATGGGAGAGTATCCCTATAGGGGTTCAGATGGACCTAATGATCACATCTAATGATGGCATGTGTAATGGACTATCTCACTGGAGGCTTTATGCCTGGGACATCTGCACACAGTATACACACACAAACACACACAGACATGGTCATAGACACACACACGTACGCTCATACACACAATACCTTATTAAGCTAGTAAGAATGTCATGTCTTTTCTCTTAATTGAAAGGGAATGGGAACTATTTTCCATTTCTGTCCTCTAAATGATTGAAGTGTATCCTCTAGGGGTTTGTAATGTAGAGGACAGTAATGTAGAAATGTAAACATAATCTTTATAATTACACATATTGTACACACGTTAGATGGACACGCGTGCAAACACACACACACACACACTCCTCCCCCGTAAACACACTCAAAGTATCCCATTACCATGGTCTGCCATCACTGGGGAGTCCATCCCACACATACTAGTGTGCATGATCCATATCACACTCGCACACAAACATGCGCACGCACGCACGAACGCACACACACACACACACACAACAGGCATTGAATAATCCATAAAGAGGGCCAATTTAGCTTCTCCTCTGCTCCTTCCCCTCTCTGCAGTAATTACCTCATCAAGTCTCATTTTAACCCACTTCCTCCAAAACAATATCCTACAGTAATCCCCCCCCCCACCACACCAACCGGGAGGCCCATTAATGTGGTCAAGGGTCATCACTTCTGATATCCAACCTGATTGGCCCAGCATGACACCCCATCCACTGAGAAAATGAGTGTGAGGGAAGCAGAGGGGAAAGAAAAAAGGACTGATATCAGCAAAGAAAAATAGGATCTTTTTTTATTTTTTTCAACTCTTCAGATCACCCCCCTCCACCAACCCCTGGTAACACATTAGTAATGGAACTTGCAAATGAGCCGAACCCTCATCTGTCCAATCCAGATGTATAGTAATGACTGGAGGACCAGAAGAGAGAGCTGTTGAATTAAACATTCAACCATTTCCACCGAAGTGGTTTATTTTTCCTAAACGGCTTCTCCATCTCCGTACTTTGGGATGGGACGTTGAAAAAAAAAAATATCTGTCTGAGGCACTTCATCATTTGTGCTGTGTCTCAGGTGCTTTGGGGTCAATGACACCAGGCTTGGTAATGTATTCCATCTCTGTGGGGAATGAGATGCATCTCCACCCAGCCCCCAGCCTCAGGGTCAGCCCACAGCTACACTCTGCAATCTATTAGACTGCCAGTTTCCACATTCTTCAGGCTCTGCTGTGAAACTGAGTGGCCCGTGTTTGTTAGAATCGAGCCATAATGGCCGCCACCTGCAGCAGCACGGCTCAGGCAAGGTTATAATATCCTTAACGTGTTACCAGGGGTAAATCCTCCCATGTGATGGATACTGTCCCCCGCTGTTTCACTCTGTCTGTCTATGTGTGAGTATAGGGAATTGGGATGTGTGTTGGGCAGCCTACGAAGAGACAGAGATTGATTGCGTCTTCCTTTGCCGCTTCTCTCCTCTTTCCGCTTTCTTCTTTCTCTTCTTCTCTCTCTATTTGTTTCCCTGCCCACCTATCAATCTTCACCCCCTTTCTCCTTCTCCTAACCCCCTTTTATCTCCCACCTCTCTCTTCCCTCTTTCTCTTTTCTGCATCCCCCCCGACGTTCTCTCCTCCTCCCTCCACCAGGTCGACAGTTGACCATCTTCAACAGCCAGGCGTTCATCAAGATTGGCGGTGGTGGCGGAGACAAGGCCCGTCACTTCCAGGGCCAGATCTCGGGACTCTATTACAACGGGCTGCAGGTGCTCAAGCTGGCGGCGGAGAGCGACCCCAACGTGCAGGCCCAGGGCAACCTGCGGCTGGTGGGCGACGTGCCCTCTGTGCTCACCACGGACACCACCAGCACCACGCCGCTGGCCGACATGTCCACCACCATCATGGAGACAACCACGACCATGGCTACCACCACCACCCGCAAGCAGCGCTCGCCCACCATGAGGGACAGTGTCACACAGGTTTGTAGGGGAGGACTGGGGTGGAGTGGGGGAAGGTGAGTGGAGGACTGGGGTGGAGTGGGGGGGGACTGGGTTGACACTGATCTGTGGCCAGTTTGGGATTTTCCCCTGCAAATGGTGATTATACTCTGATCCTAGATCTGTGCTTATAAGAGCAACTTCTTCCCGGAGTGAGTGGGAGTCATGACTGTTTCATAGTAGTTATTCCTCTCTACAGAATCATACAAACTTTCTGTAGCTACGTACTCTCTGCTTGGCCAAAGATTGACATTCAGAACTTCAAAACGAACCCAATAACAAGTCTAGCATACCCCATTAGAGCAATCCAGACGGGGGTTTTGATTCCTTCTAAAGCAAAATCACAAATCGAAGACTAGACACATTGTTAGAGGCTATATGAATCACACCCATCCACACCAATCACATGTAGCCAGACAGTTGGGGCATCGAAGGAATAAAAGCAAATAAATTGCTTGCCTCAATTACCTTGCCTCACCCTCTAAACATGTTGTTATCCTGTGTGCGTGTGTGTTTGAGTGAGCGCGTCCTGCCCGTGTGTCTAGTATACACGTCCCCATACAAAGGCTAAGTTTTCCTAGTACTAATCTCGACATGTTATGATCAGTCGATCCACCACTCCTGGAAGTGGCAATTGGGGAACAATGGGAGATAGAGCTATTACGCCAACTAGACACACAGTCACACACAGTCCCCCTGTTGTCGAAATGCTGCCCAGTCCCCACGCAGCCCATAATAAGCTTTAATAACAGGCCACGTGTCCTCCAGGAGAGGGAATCGTTTCCTCCAATTTCACAGCCCGTACTATCTATTAATTAGCCACGAGCCGCATGCATTGTAATGTAATATAGCGCAGCTACATTAGCAGTCTGCTGCAGCAGTGTGGTGGTATAGCATTAGAATAGTATTAGGCTCCAGGCGCCCAGAGAGAAATGGGAGTTAAGTGAAGGACTAGCTGTTGGTTTTAGAGTTCAAAAGTTTTCTTCCAAACACTTTTGCTATATCGATTGAGCTTGCCTGACACAACTGAACAAATGGAATAGTCCCAAAAGTGTGCAATTCCAGGTAGGCTCATCTGCAATTCCAGGTAGGCTGAATCACTCAGTCAATGTGAAAACACAAGTATTTGAAAGGAAACGTATAACTAAACCAGGTCTGGATGGTCGTTTTTTGTCTTTCTGTTTGTTTACTTTGTTCCATGTTTCAAGTGTTATAGAATACCCAATTATGTAAGGTAAAAGCCAATTTATGCTTGCTCTGGCAATACGATCCGGAGGCTCCATACAGAGGGTGTGACGCAATTGCGGAGCTTCTGGAGGCTTGTGGAGGCCAAATCGAGCTCTGTGCCGCATCGCCGTGCACCTCCCAAATTCTGTAACAATGCAGAGGGCTCTGTATAGTGCCGTATAGCTCCGCATTGACATGATTGGCTGACGGTAGGTGAGGGCGGGAGGTCCTGTATAAACACAAACTCACTTCCTTGACAACTTCCTTCACAACAGCTCTGCTGTGGTCCACCAAGCACAAGAAGAATGAATGCTCTGACTTCTGCGGAGGCCGCATCGCAGTAAATGCTGTCGGATTGACCATGCAGAGCCTTTAAGGTTAGGTTAGGTAAAGCTCGGTTCTAACAAGCTGTGGCTGTTTCTACAATTTCAACAAACTTGCGTGGTGTTGCATGGAAAAGACGTTAAGCTAAAAGTACCAATTAACATTGGGTTTCTCTCAAACAGCTTGTTCATTATCACCCTCCTTGTCCTCAGACGCTTACCCGAGATCAATCACACAAACCTCTTGGCCTGACAGCCTTCCTTTGACAACCATGACGAAGCGTTCTCTGCCTAAGAACATTGCTCTCATACCAGCTACCTACCTCCCCCTCTTTCTCCCATCTCACTTGAAAGCGAAGGTCTCTCTCTCTCTCTCTCTCTCTCTCTCTCTCTCTCTCTCTCTCTCCTCAGCCAATAACAACAGTGCTAACGAGAGAGAGATGGAGGTAGAGAGAGATGGAGACTGAGAGGTATGCAAGAGTGTGAGAGACACAGGGAGGGTGTAGGGGTAGACTAGAGAGAGGTAGGCGTCTCATGCTACTAGCTACCGCACTGCAAACACCAGTCAAGTCTTATCTAATTGAATGTTCGCTTTTGGACAGCCGTTGTTTGTTTACCTTTTGAGACTTTTTCTTCCATCATCCTTTCCTCATCGCGCTGCGTAGCCGGAGCCACAGTCCTTTGATTTCAGCTTTACTCAATTCAATAAATGGGCGGAAAATGAGCTTAATTATCTCTATATGGCGTTATCAAAGCAGTCCGGGACTGTCTGTGTACTTTTTCCAGAAGAGGAGTAGAGATCAGACATTGTTGACTGTACTAAGGTCAATGCTGCTAGCTACTTCATCCATCCAAAGTCATGTGTGTATGATGCAACGGGTTGTATCGCTAGTACTGCGCCATTATCAATACAGAAAGACTGTCCTTCCAAAGTTAATGCACTGTATGATGCTGCAACTGGCTCTACTATTAGGCATGGAGTTTAGGGACCCCTGTAGAGTTCCATTACACATTGTGGGTGCATCCCAAATGGCACCCTTTTCCCTATATAGTGCACTACTTTTGACAAGAGCCCTATCTGCCCTGGTCAAAATAGTGCCCTATATGGGGAATATGGTGCCATTTGGGACACAACCAATGTTATATCTGATTACCTCTTTGCTGTGTTTATACTGCAGACATGATGGTCTGTGGTTTAGCAACTATCTGTGCCTAGCTAGTAAACAGAAGATCAATGTAACCTAAGCTGGATATGTACTACTCATATTTTACGTGCCTGTGTGTGTGTGTGTGTGTGTGTGTGTGTCTACAATGCATATACAGTAGCTTGAGAAAGTATTCACCTTGGCATTTTTCCTATTTTGTTGCCTTACAACCTGTAATTAAAATTGATTTTTTGGGGGTTTGTATCATTTGATTTACACAACATGCCAACCACTTTGAAGATGCAAAATATTTTTTATTTTGGAATGTTGTGGAAAATAATCACTATACTTCAAAAAAATCAAAGTTATTTCAGAGGTTTTGTAGAATCAAGAATGACTTTATTACAATTTCAACAAAGCCAGGCTAATCTTCAGATTACGCCTCTTTTCTCTCTCCCTTCCCTAGCTCTATAGTCTCCTTCACCCCCACCCTATCTTAAAATCCCTCCCTCTTCAGCTTCCCGCTCTTTATCGCTCCGCCCACTTCCTTTGTCTATGAGGGCGACTAAATTCGACTTTCATTTAGTTCAGAATCAATAGCAATCCAATCAATCAATCCCTTATCTTGCAAAAACACTCATGTTTAGGTTAAACTCTGTTCAATCCCGGCCGCTTTTTCCACTTTGTTTGAGGTGAGAGGCAAAAGGCCACAATCTGGTTTCAGTCTCTCATAAAGTAGGACAGCCATGGATTTAAGTAAGAGCAAGCAATTCGACCCTAGGTCAGATTCCCGCTTTACCCACCCACACACAGTGAAATGACCCAATTGAGTTCCTGGCCCAGCAACAAAGAATTCTAACTCTATGTTCATGATTACCCCAGTTTTATCTCAAGCAGAAAACTTGAGCGTGCATAACTATTCACCCCCCCAAAGTCAATACTTTGTAGAGCCACCTTTTGTAGCAATTACAGTCTCTTGGGGTATGTCTCTATAAGCTTGGCACATCTAGCCACTGGGATTTTTGCCCATTCTTCAAGGCAAAACTGCTCCAGCTCCTTCAAGTTGGATGGGTTCTGCTGGTGTACAGCAATATTTAAGTCATACCACAGATTCTCAATTGGATTGAGGTCTAGGCTTTGACTAGGCCATTCCAAGATATTTCAATGTTTCCCCTTAAACCACTCAAGTGTTGCTTTAGCTGTATGCTTAGGGTCATTGTCCTTCTGGAAGGTGAACCTCTGTCCCAGTCTCAAATCTCTGGAAGACTGAAACAGGTTTCCTTTAAGAATTTCCCTGTATTTAGCGCCATCCATCATTCCTTCAATTCTGACCAGTTTCCCAGTCCCTGCCGATGAAAAATATCCCCACAGCGTGATGCTGCCATCACCATGCTTCACTGTGTGGATGGTGTTCTCGGGGTGATGAGAGGTGTTGGGTTTGCGCCAGACATAGCGTTTTCCTTGATGGCCAAAAAGCTCAATTTTAGTCTCATCTGACCAGAGTACCTTCTTCCATATGTTTCGGGAGTCTCCCACATGCCTTTTGGTAAACACCAAACGTGTTTGCTTATTTTTTTCTTTAAGCAATGGCTTTTTTTCTGGCCACTCCAAATAAAAATCCATTTCCATTACAGGTGGTAATGGAAAAAAGCCAAGGGGGATGAATAATTTTGCAAGGCACTGTATATGTCACTCAATATGTATTCACATCCACTGTGTTGAGTTCCATATCAATGTCTTTCTACTGGCCTCTAGGCAGACTAGACATCTGTGTGTAGAAGTGTGTAATGACAAAACTCCTTAGCAGGTGTTGTTTTGTGTGCTGTGAAATAGACAGCCATCTTGAGAAATGTCTGTAGGCGTCCTAGTGCCCAGAGGCACATTCAGCTCTAGCAGATATCTGGTGTTTCTGTTTGTTTGGCGCTCCACCATTGCGCTGTTTATAATTAACAAGCATAATGTTTAATGCTTGACATGAATTTCACCAAGTCATAACATAAGCCCAGCGAGCTCGCCTTGGTCTCTCTCCCTGATGAACACAGGCCCAGATTGGGCTCCTCTGGTGGACAAGGAGAGAGGAGACAAGGAGAAGGAAATTGAGGAAGGGGAGGAGAGTGTTGAGTAGCAGACGGAGGCAAACAGAGAGAGGGAGACAGAGGGGACAGAGAGATGGAGGAAGAGAGGACAGGAAGAGACAGAACATTAGTATTGTTTTTGGGTCCGAAAGAAAATAAGAGGAAGCAGAAAGACAATGAGGACAAAGACGAAGGAAAAGCGAACATGTCACCCCCCAATCCCATGTGACACATTACAACCATGGCTGAAACAGCTCCATCCCTTTACAGCTGAAGAAGCCCAGATCACACGGTACCATTCAACAGCTAAGATGGCCGCCCATCAGATCCTGTTGATCTTCTCACTTCCATTTCCTTGGCAACTGATCTAATGAGGCACTCCTATTCCTCTCAACCCTGTTCACATGGCCCATTCATTAGTCATGCAATGTTTACATGGTGTTAGCTAGCTTTGCATCCCAACACACACACACAGGATACACACTCTGTCGTCTGTGCAGTTAATAGGTCATTTTATGGAGTCTGTGGTGGTGTTTTGCGCTAGAGGAAACTTGATAATGTATACTATACAGCCTCAACCGGGGCCCAAGCTAACGTCTCAGCATTGGTTTAACAAGCCTGTAGCCCCTCTACTACTCGACGTGACACCACCATCACCATCCAAACGGGACAGGGGAACGGGACACAGGCAAACAAACACGAATGTACATTTCTCCTCCAAGACGGAGCAAAAAAAAAGCTGTGAGCTACCTGTAGCGAGACACTTTGATAATGACAAATAATGCCTTGATGGTTTAAATAAGAACATACTTTTTAATGTGTTAGTTTTTACCCTGATAGAAGACTAGATGCTACAGAATGGGGGAAGTCATCACTTCTCCTGCGTTGACCCCAATTTGGAGGCTGTGGTTTGGGGTAAACTAAGATCAGTAGGAGCCCCTCCTATGCACAGTCAGAGCATGTGATCTCGCACAGATAGTCTGACTCTGGAGCAGTGCTTCCCAACTCAAACCTCACCTCGAGGACCCTGCTCCAGGTGAAGTTTCCCGTTGGTACTGATCTAGGATCAGCTTCCCCTCCTATGATCTTAACCTTAACCATTACTGGTGGAAATGCAAAACTGACACAAGATCAGCGTCTAGCCATTACATTTGGTATATTCAGGTACTTGCACACCTGATTCAACTAATCAAGAGCTTGATGATTAGATGACCAGTTGAATGATGTGTGCTGATACTAGACTAGATAAAATAAGTATAACTGGCATGTGGTACTTGAGAAGAGATTTGGGAAACACTGACCTGCAGGAGTGGAAAGTATTGCAGCAAGACGTCAACAGTGCAGGTTGGGCAGGTTGCACAGATGAAAGGAGTGAATGTCTGCATTCCTAACACCAGGGGGAGTAATTGAGACAATTATTTGACAACATACAGCTTCTAATAGGACTCCCTCAAAAACAGTGGCAAGTGTTACTGAGTGGACTACCCTAGCTCGATAAAGAAATACAATTATATTGTAGTGCCATTGTCAAACATGAGGATATATTCACTTCAGATATTCATTGATATCTAGGTGAAGTTTTAAAACTGTGTTTCTAAAATGTAACGTAAAAATGCCAATACTTTTCGGCATGGGTTCAAACCCCACCTTCATATCTGCATTCCTCTACATCTGTCTCCCCCTCTCATTAATGTCTTTCTATATCAATAAAGAGAAAATACTAATAAAATGTACTGTATATTAAAATTCCACTACTTTGAAATCACAAAATGTCAGACATGCATTATAGGCTACATCATTAGATATTTGTTATCAAAAGGAGCGCTGGTCATTTAGGATGGAAATGAAATGGAAGAGTGTGTAGGGTGCAGATTTTGCTATGTTCTCATTAAGCCCATCTGAGAGGCCCATGGGGACACATACACACACACTCTATCTTGCTCTCACACACACACCAACACGCACTGTATTTGATGAATAAGTAAATGCATCCTGTCTGTGGATACATAATGGAGAGGGGTACAACTGTGTACAGACATTGAACAGATCACTGTGCTCAAATGAATTGTGCTGCCCATGATAAAAGCCCTCATCCCTCCCCCTATATTCCATCAGGCTGAGCTCATCTTGAATATTAACTTGAGTCTGGGGGTTGAGGATAATAGATTAGACAAGGTGCTGCCTAGCAGCACAGGTGGTTGAGAGGGAGAGTACACGAGCAACAGAGTTCTGAATGGGCTTTTTGTATTGGGGCTATTAGCCTAGCTTCCACTAGCTCGTTGTGGCTCTGGGCTTAATGGACTTCAACAATGGGTTTTTACTGGGTTGTATTTTATGTCGTGATCTCAAAATGGAGGGGTGTCAGCTCGGTTGCCATTCTTCTGTTTCTGCGTGACGACGATGACCGACTTGGCTAAAGCAGAAACAGAGTGATGACTAGGTTAAAGTTATGACATTGCCTTGTTTACCTTGTTCTTTCGTGCATGACTAGTTGCATAATGGGTAAGGTCCGAGGCTACCTGACCAGGTAAAACTCGGGGCCCTAGTTACACTATATCCTACAACCAGGGCCGAGTTGTTCCTGGACAGGTCCTATGGTCAGGAAAAACGTATCTCTGTCTGGGTAGTAGAACACACACTCACACCCTTCTATCTGCCCCTTTCTCCATCTCCATCTCTGTTCCAGAACACGGATGACCTGTTGGTAGCGTCTGCTGAGTGTCCCAGCGATGATGAGGACTTGGAGGAGTGCGAGCCTGGAAATGGTGAGTCCACTCTGGGGGTTCTGTGTGCACTACAGGGGTCCACCAGCCCAGCAGAGACCCACAACAGAAACAGCTAGCTCCCCTTACCCACTTTGTTCTACTACTGTGACCCCATGACCTCCCACATGCAGCCCTGATTGGGTCAGATGTGTGCCCACCCTGGTTTCTCATTGGCTAAGGTTCAAAGCGGCGCAGTGACAGTTCCTAAGTCTCCCGAGCCATCTGCGGGGCAGCTTTGCATCCTGATTGGGTAGCAGCTGGTGCTAGGTCAGCTGTTGCATCAATCAGCCGCTCCGTTCTTAACGATTCCAGACAGGTTCAACATTGAACTCCTCTTGACCGTCTGCCTCACAGCGGCGGCTGAGCGGACCCGTAGCTGAGCGATGTCGGTGTGAGCGGAAAGGTCAAAATGAACTTCTGAGAGAGGATGGAGAGGGCCTGTGAAAAGGGCAGGATGTTGACTGTGGTTTCAGGACATAGTGCACTGGCTGATTGCCTGGGAACTGCCAAGAACTCTTACATGAATCAGAATGCTAAGACTGCCAGACCTAAACTCCACTGGGCGTGTTTCTGTGTTTTCCAGAAGGCTCAAATCAAACGCTTACGCTAAACAACCTAGGAGGTCTAAAAATAACTCTAGGCTAGGAATAACCTTTATAAAACCATCAGGAACATTTTGTTAACTTTCAGTTTTTTACATTCATGTTTTCATTTGATGTGGAATAGAAATCATCATAGATTCTATTACGTTTTGACTATTTTGATTCAATAATGTTAAGGCAGCTTTAAAAATCTACTGAAACGCTTATTACACCTTAAGTGGGTGGAGATTATGGAGAATCGCTGTGTTTATAAGGTAATACTGATCTAAACTAAGCCAAAATATTCTACACTACATCAATTCTCTGTGTGGTTTCACTGTAGGTGGTGGAAGCCGAAAAAGAGGCTAAATTGTCTTCTTATCAGAAGCAGACTGACTGCTGCCCAAAACTAATCTCTCTAGAGAGAAGAGCAAGACACTAGTCTGTCTCTGACACTCTGTTGGCAGAAAGTTTATCCTCAGCCTGGCCATCACCGTTGAGACACAACAACAATCACACAGACAGGACAGCATCATCCCCGCTACCTACAAGACCGTGAAAGACACACAAACACAAGCGTGCACATACACACCCACACACAAAATCTCTCTCTCACTTTCTCTCACACCCCTCCTCCTGCTAGTCTCCATTGTCCCAGACAGGTTATGTATTGTAAACCAGTGGCAGTCGGTGCCGTTTAAGATGAGGGAGGCCGATAATGTAACAGTGATAGGTTTAGGCTGCTACATGATACTCGAATGTTCCCTATAACTATATGAATGAAAGTTGATAATGTAGGTGCACAGTTGGTACATTTACATTTTACATTTTAGTCATTTAGCAGACGCTCTTATCCAGAGCGACTTACAGTTAGTGAATACATATTTTTTATACTGGCCCCCCGTGGGAAACGAACCCACAACCCTGGCGTTGCAAACGCCATGCTCTATCAACTGAGCTACATCCCTGCCGGCCATTCCCTCCCCTACCCTGGACGACGCTGGGCCAATTGTGCACCGCCCTTGAGTCTCCCGGTCGCGGCCGGCTGCGACAGAGCCTGGATTCGAACCAGGATCTAGTGGCACAGTTAGCACTGCGATGCAGTGTCTTAGACCACTGCGCCACTCAGGAGTATGGTAATCAAGGTAACAGACAGTGACACATTCAATACTGCTTTGCACTCTCTTGCCTGCATCTAGCTGATCTAGGCTGTAATCTTTAGTCCATCAGTTGCAAATGAGAGTTTGTTGGACAAATTCAAGTATGTTTTTCCCCGTTTTGTTCCATTTGCTTTCGTTTAAGAAGCGTTTTTCAACAGAATCGGTGGAATGATTCATAGCAGCCACATACAAACAGCATGATCCCTTTGCTCATTGTAACTCATTGTAAAACCTTTCCAAGCCAAACCGTTATATCATAACCGCTACACACAGCCTTCATCGTTGTCATCATATTAGCTAACGTCATAGTCAACATAGCTAATAGAATAAATGCATTAGTAAACCCATTACAATCATGCAGAACAGTGTACAGTCAGCAAGCAGTTTAGCAGTTACACCAGCTGGCCCCAGTGGAAGTTCCAGTGTTGGATAGCCATAACCAGCTAGCTAACATAGCATCCCTCTTGAGCCGGGTGTTTGAGTAGACTAAACTAGCTAGCTGCATTCGCTAGCTAAGTGAAAGTGAAAAAAATACTATGAAATGTCTCGCTCTCCCTCTTTCTTGATTCTCTGTCTTTTTTGAAGAAATGTATTTGTTCAAAACTTTTCAACTATTGTCTTTCTCTCTCTTTGAGTCAACTACTCACCACGTTTTATGCACTGCACTGCAGTGCTAGCTAGCTGTAGCTTTCCTACTTTCATTCTCTGATCCTTTGATTGGGTGGACATGTTAAGCTATGGTTAAACCCAGCACTCAGAGAAACAAAACACAACTAAGGGAGTGGAAGAAAAAAAAAATATTTTAATAAAAGTTCAATTTGTCTTAGTCCAAAAACAACTGAAGAAAAGGAACAGAGTGGGCTAGTCAGCTCCGGAGGAAGGAGAGGCTGAGGCAAGCAGGCAGGCAGGCAGGCAGGCAGGCAGGCTGGAAGGCAGACAGGCAGGTTGGGAGGTATGTCTGAACTGAAGACAAAACAAACGACAGGTTAAGGAGAGTAAAGAGCCAGGCTGAAGACAAAGACAATTTACTCTACTGGTGAGCCAAGTTACCGCTCTAGTAAGAACAACGATCTGGCGCCGGTGGAGAGCCATGCCCAGGAATTAGTAGTGCAGGTTGATGAGAGAATAGGATGCAGCTGCGTAGGCAGGAATCACTGGAAACAACCCGCAGCTGCACAGGAGAGGCAGATCCTGAGCACGCCCCCCGATCCACTCCAGACACACCCACATAATGGGGACAAACACACATACAGATACAACAGACAAAGAGGGGACAAAACAAGGAGGAAGGGAAACAGAAAAGGGAGAGACAAGCTGCCCACATAACAGGACAACATGTCAGTTCCTGCTGTAAGAGTTCATGCTGCAACCTTCATTGCAAAACAGTGTGTTTTAATCAATTATTTGGTGACGTGAATATATTTAGTATAGTTTTATCTAAAAACTATGGAAAATTTTATGTTCCACTATTTTCATTTTTATGAAATTCACAGAGGAGGTCCTCCCCTTCCTCATCTAAGGACCCTCCACTGCTGTAAATCTTGAAGACAGCCACAGCCACTAGTCATGATCTGATATGAGCCAATGAGACCTGCAGGAGACCTGGAAGAGACGGCCTTGATTTGTCTCTGAAACATGGGATGGAGCACTAATGAGAATTGATATTGATCAATACGGTTAGCTCCCTACTGTAACAAGCAGCTGCTCCACTGTGGCAAGGCTAGTTCATGTTAAAAAATACTTATAGGCTCCACGGCTATATTCAGTAGTAGTAAGGATAGTAGAGTTGTAATTGTAAAGGAGTGTTGGTGTTTCTGTTCATTCACTACAGTCGAGAGCATCTTGTTCTACCGGTTTTGTTTTATTCCTCCCTTTAAAGGGTGTTTGTGTTTTTAACACTTCCGCAGAGGAAAGTGCGGAAAGCTCAAACAATGTAACTCTGATGGCTTTTCAGTGGAGTCTAAAGGGAGACAAGTCCAAAGAGAGATACAGACACAGGCAGGCACATACACAAACACACAGACACACACACTAATACACAGACAAAGATAAAGAAGGGGAGAGAACTAGAATAGCGACAGAGAGGGTGAGGAGTGAGACGGATCATAAAAGAAAGAGGCGGCCGCATCAGAGAGGTAGAGAGAGGGAGCGAAATGCCCACATCTTGGAGGGGTGATTGGCGTTGAGATGTGCGTCACGTCCCCTTACTCTCCAAAGAGAGAAGGAGCGGAGGAGAGAGAGGGGGAAAAGAGAGAGAGAGAGAAATGTGGGATCCCTCTGATTAGTTTTCTATCTGCCCTTCCTGCATCTCCCACCGGGCTAATTAATCTTTGGCCTCGTTAGGCTTGCTGTAATTACATCATCCAACAAGCCTGGATTTGGTTTCGCTCACTTTTAATGAGGCCCAGCCAGAATAGGGAGAATACATATCAGGGATCCCTTTAACAAAACCCTGCTATCTACACTGCAGCATCAGCTTTGGAGGAGTCACACACATAGACAGAGACATAGGCACACACACACACAGACAGACACAGATACATCACAGCTAGCTTCAGTCTACTCTCTCTAGCCTGCTAACAATCTTCCTCTGGCTGTTTTCATTTTTATTGTCCTCAATGTCTTTTGTTTCTACATTGTTGTTTTCCTTTGTTCTTGTCTTTTTTCTCTTTGATTCTTTTTATTGATTGTTGGCACAACGGATGGGTAGTTGTTTTGGTTGGGTTGGAAAGGGATGGTGGCTTGGAGGGGGTGGAGATGGAGAAGGGGTTGGGGATGGGGATGGGGAATGGAGAGGGAGGTTTTTCGGGGGGGGACTGTGGGAGGGTCTTGGATGGTTGAGGGGCAGCTCTCGGGGGGAACTGCGGGGGGGATCTTGGATGGTTGAGGACGGCGGGTGGCCTGGCAGTTGGGAGCATTGGGCTGGTGGCCCAGAGGTCTCTGGTTTGGGTCCTCGAGTCGACTGGGTGGGGGATCTGTCGATGTGCCCTTGGGCGGGGCGCTTGACCCTGATTGCTCCCGTGGGTCGCTCTGGATGGGAGCGCCTGCTAGATGACTGGAATGTAATGTAAATGTTGAGTGGCTTCACTGCAGGTAGAGTGTACGTTTTAATTTTAAAAAACAACAACAAAAAACAATCTGCACCCCGCTCTTTCGTTCTCTCTCTCTCCCCCTCTCTCATCCATTAATTTACCCTACAGTAACGTATCATGAGAGGAGCAGGTGACAGGGTTATCACAGAGTGAGATCAAAAGTTCAATTCCCTGGCCAGATCTGCTCTGAGATAGCAATACATAATTGATCATGTATGTTCCCCTTTAAAGAACAGATGGTGAGACCGAAATAATGTAATGTGATTTAAAATCCAAACCCAGACCCTTTAACTTCTCATAGACAGCACTGCAGCCCCCATGTGGACAAACGGACCCATTGAGCTCAATGGGCATCTGTATGGTGATGTTGATATATTTCATATCACCGATGTTGATATATTTCATATCACCTTAGCTAGATTATATACCCTCTTGACTCCATAGCTGTAGCCATTTTGGGTCATACAGGGCAATTAAAAATGATCACATTGACTGTAGCAATATCTTCCTTTTCCTCTTGCGTATATATTATACAGTGTCTAGATAAAGATTTTCCCAGGAAGCCAACCTGTGCTGGTTAATAAGTTGCATATATTTCCATAAGTCAACAGAGACTAGAGTTGAGGCATTTTCTGTATATCAATATAGTATATTGGGTGTCTTATGAGGTACTTCAAATCCAATACACTCACTTAGACAGAATATCAACCAGCTTTGGCTCCAATCTCCTCAGGAAGAAAAAAAACACTGTAGCCATATCCTATTAAAAATAAATTCATGTTCAAGAAATCACATTAAAAATGTAATTACAAAATAATAATATTAATGAACAAAAGATGACGGGGTTCCAAATATCTCTCCAGCCACCATACCGGGCCACGATGTTAGCACAGTTAGAATAACCGGAATCGCCATGGGACGTCTACCTACAACTGTGAACAATTTCTAACAAATTTATCTTGCCAGATTGTTTTTCTTCTTTTTTCGTTAATGAGATTGTGGATTTTAGTATGCCCTGCAAATACTTCATTTGGATGAAACATCTGTCCCTTGTTTTTTATACTAACACATTTTCTAGTCTTAAGTACCATTGTGGATTAAGAAAAGTAATAATAACAAACAAAAAACATCTCAGTAAATATGTTAGAGAGAGATGAGAACACTGACAGTAAATGCACTATATATACAAAAGTATGTGGACATCCTTTCAAATTAGTGGATTCGGCTATTTCAGCCACACCCGTTGCTCACAGGTGTATAAAATCGAGCACACAGCCATGCAATCTCCATAGACAAACATTGGCAGTAGAATGGCCTTACTAAAGAGCTCAGTTACTTTCAACGTGGCACCTTTCCAACAAGTCAGTTTGTCAAATTTCTGCTAGGTCAACTGTAAGTGCTGTTATTGTGAAGTGCAAACGTCTAGGAGCAACAACAGGGGGGGGCAACTCCATATTAATGCCCATGATTTTGGAATGAAATGTTTGACGAGCAGGTGTCCACATACTTTTGGTCATGTAATGTATGTTAGAGAGAGATGAGAAAACACTGACAGTAAATATGTTAGAGAGAGATGAGAAAACACTGACAGTGATGGAGAGGGAGAAGAAAAGAGGGAGAGAAACAGCAAGGCAAAGAAGAGAAAAAGAATGAGAGGAAAAGAGGGAAGAGGGTAGAGGGTACATTGATATTTCATGCATTGACTCAGCCCAGGATCAAACAGTGCTCGTCGGGGCCTCTGCACCCTTTACTTTGCGTCATGCTGAGATAGAAACACTAGGCTGCCGACCAAGCCAACACCAGGGAGAGTTCATAGAACCCATCCAGAAGTGTTGTGTAGAAAAGCACTGTGGAAAGCAATCCGTTACAATCAACCATACGTGGTGAACGTATCTTCATCGATCAACGTCAGAATACATTACCCACCCTCAGGGCATAGGACGGCATGTGTGGACTGTTTATTCAATTATGCACTGTCTATGTTGAAAGGAATGAATGCTTTTCACTATTGAACGCACACTAGGTTTTCAAGATATGTAACTTTCAAAATACAGAAATGTAGCCCCTATGATGCATTTTGCATCATATGATGCAAAATGCGCCATACAGTCCAGATTTCTGTATTTTGAAAGTTACATATCTTGAAAACTTGATTGTTGACATGCAAAACATTTTTGGGACTATATCAACAATGGACTAATGAAACAAATACCAAAAGATAGTTTTGGGGTGGAGTTTTCCTTTAACTAAATCAAGAATGTAGTCTTTATGAAATGGATTATTATCCAGTATAGTAGACCATTGCGGAGATGGAGAATGATTAGAGTAGTCATTAAAGAGAGACTAGAACATACTGTTCTCTATGTACTCTATTCTCTTCACAATGTAATCAAAGCTCATTCTTTATGCAGCATATAAACTCTGAACGGTCGTTCAACCGTTAATATTTCAAGTGGCTCAGGACGAGCCAACTTGATCGGCAGAACAACTAAGTCCCAGTGTTTGTTTGGCATCCATCGTCGATGCATCAGTATCCATCTTTAACACTGAGAGAAAAAACATACCCACTTTGAGTTTTGGTTTGAACAAGGTGAGTCATCCTCTAACGCTCTTGACAGGTCAAATCATTTTACAATGGAGAGAGTAAAGTGGATTTTCAATCTTCCAAACGAAGGGCACCGCAATGGGTTCTCTATGGGTTCTTGGCAGTTCTCAGTGTGATGATGACAGAAGCATTTGAAACCTGTTTGAACGTGTCCATTCACACCAGCTGATTCACCATACAGCCAATGGTGTGGCCAACCTATGGGTGTGATCTGACCAATCAGAAGCTGCATATGCAGTTTACGGGCACAGTCATGGGAAGGGGAGGTATACCAGTGTTGATAGGTCTGTGTCCAGACAAAGACACACTCAGTGAAGAGACAAGCGAGACGAGTACAGCTATAAATGTAGATGTCTGTGTGGGTCTGTGTTTGACGGTTGAGAACCCATCATCTTCTCCATCCTTGGCACTGTGGTTAACAGTAACTTTTCCTATCCAAGTATGGCACCAAGGACAAAGCTTATGGCACAAAGCTGAATTATGTGCCAAGAAGAGAGTGTTGGTATCGTTTGCACTTTCGCATTCATATATGCTCATTAGAACCAAAGGTCTGCAACAAATTTGAGAAAAATGTGAACAGTAATAAATTAATCCACTTTTTAAGAAAGTATTGGATTCACCTAATGATCATGACTACGTAGAAGCAGGTGCACAAATCATCTTTAGCAACTACTCTGACAAAGTGGCATTTCTTCACAGATATAATCACATTGCGGCAACAACACCAAACATTCACCTCTCACCCTCTTATCATTCTGTAGACAGGGCACACATTGAACAGCTCCACCAGATGCTGGACGGCTTCATAACGGCTCTTGGTTTTCTGACAACACTCGCTCAGTGTCAGACACCTGCAACTGGGCCACGCAGTAGCGGAACACAGCGAGGGGTAGACTGCATACAGAGAGGCAGGCGGACAGCGAGGTATTCCGCTGGCACCGTTTCAGTCATACAGACAGATGGCAAGGTAAAGATAGATGCACCTCTATCTTATCCAGCGAGTCAGAATAGAAGCTAAATATCTCTAGAGTCCAGAAGAGAGGAAAGTAGGAAACATTGGAAACATTGCTCAGAATCTGACGAATTTACAGAATATGTATGACAAATCATCTAATATTCTATATTTCTATCTTATTTGGGCTAATGGTTTATTCATTTCCTCTGTTTATTTTTATTTGTTCCTCAAATGTGCCAACACTCTCTTCAAGGTGAATCTCAACCCTCAGACACAGAGATACTCACATAAGTATGCACCCTTATGTTGCCAGGGTAACATAGCCATTTTGACTGTGCAATAGGAGTTGTATGAGTTGGGAATGGGCTGGATCCTATAAGGTTGAATACTGACTAACTTTTCTCTTTCTCAGCATTCATGTTTTTACTCCCTTTCAAGGCCTTGTTTTTGCTCTGTGTATTATTGTTGATTATCTTTTGAAAGGTTTTGTGTAAAAGTTGCACTATAACCCTTATGAAAGTCCCTTGCCCTACTTATTGTGGGGTTGTCACAAAAAATGGGGCTTGAGGGCTTGGAGGGGGCTTGAGCACTTGTGGGATATGTTGACCTGGGGATGACAAATACAGCCCAAAATATCCTCAATACACGTTTCTAGAATCCCCCACACCACACTCACTCGCTTTATCCGATCCCTATTCCGTTTAGATACACAAATTTACCTCATCAACTCAAAAAGGGTTAAGAATATGTATGATTCATGTTATGGACATTTCTGTGAGTTACCTTATCATTGTCCATAAAGAGAAATGTCATAATCTTTTAAACTGCCCCTAACATTTTTGCTAATTGTTTCTGTGATTGTGACCCTAATGAGATTATGGGATGCGGCAGAGGGTAGCAAATTGTTTTTTGAAGAGGGAATGTAACTTGTCATTGATATTGTGCTATGTACTGCTAACATTTTCCTATTATGTTTAACATCTCCAATTGGTACTCCTATGTTTGTCTCAATGATTTTGTCCTACCTACCTTTAAAGCAATGTACTGACTTGTAACACCCAACATGTTTTATTAACTGTGGGAGTGATTATACTACAAAGGACAAAAAAGTAGTTCACAAAATAATTCAATCCCCTCTAAGACTGAATATAAAGGCATAGAGATCAGGCATAAAGATCTGAGAAATTGTTATTAACTGTGTCGGGTGATAATTGGTAGAAGGGAATAGGATTTTTTATGTTCCTTGTTTTAGCATATCTAGTGGGAGGGAGGTGGGTGTTAGGACCGCATCTGTAGACTGTGTTTCTGGGTAGAAACTAGGGGCATCAGTTTCCCCCAGCTGGTCTTCAGGGTTTGAATACAGATTACAGCTAATTAGAACTGAGCCATAGAAATCACCATGCCCCCAGGCAGAATAGGATTTGAGCCATTCTTTATGAAAGCACAATGAATTATTTAGAGAATTATTAGATTTTTCACACACACAAAAATAAAAAGAATATGGGGGGGTGGGGGGGAGTTGTTTATCACTATCCAAGAACAATCTTACACAGCTTTCTTTTTGTAATTTTTTTTTTCATGCAAAAATCATGCGGCCAATTTGTTGATGTAAGTGACCTGAACTCCGTGGTTTGCTATCTTATTTAACCCAAAGAAAACTTAAGAGTTAGCGTAGAAATAGAACAGCATAGACAGGCAGACAGCAAAAGATAGCTTGTATCTAGTAGATGTTGATCTGTTGTTTAGTCTTTTAAACATGTTGTCCAAGGACAACAGTAACATATATGTATAGTCATGTTCAGTCTAGAGCAAGGGAGATGTAAGGATAGTCAGAAAATGTATTATTATCTTTATACTATGTATTGTACATCTGTTTAGTCATCGTAACTCGTTAAATAGAAGACTAGAGACTAACTCAACTTTAGAACTGACCTCATGTCAGGTTTTAGTGCTGTTCTAATAATGGTGTTGCTGTTTTCATTTGAACTTTTGTTTTTTTTCTTTTTTGGTCTGGAGAGGACGCTCTGTTTTTCCCTAACGCTCTTTTCCCTCCGTTGTCTCTTTCTTGTCCTAGGAGGTGAATTAGTGTTGCCCATAATAACGGTGGACTCCCTAGACCCCCCATCCATCGCCACCCGCTACCCCGTAATCCCCCCGCCCCCCACCTACCGCCCCCTCTTCCCCTTCCTCGAAACAACCAAAGAGTCCCTCCCCCTGCCCAACGGTCGCCCCCCCTGCCCACTGGATCAGGAGGACTGCGAGGAGGCGGGGCCCATCGAGGTGTCCGCCTACGGCTCGGGCGAGATGACCGAGTCAGACGACGAGGACTATTACAAAAACTCCCCCCTCGTCACCGACAGGACGGTCCTCCCCCCTCCCCCCAATGAGGGCGGCGTCCATAACCCCCGCGACCGTCACTTCTCCCACCGGCCCCCCAACTCCCACCACCCCCCCCTGTCCTCCACCCCCACAGCCAACCCCAACCAGCTAGGCCCCAGGCTCAACAAGCCTGGCAGCAGCAGCAAAAACCCTGCCGGCAAGATGAACACCCGGGACCAGGTGCTGCTGCCGCCCGCCCACCCCTCCTCCGACCCTGACCGCCACCGCCACGTCCCAGGCATAACCTACCCTCCCAATTTCCCCCATGTGCCCATCCCAGACCCCACGTCCCCAGAGAGAGGAGGGCCTCCCGGCGCAGTAGAGGTAATCAGGGAGTCCAGCAGCACCACGGGCATGGTGGTGGGCATCGTGGCGGCCGCTGCCCTCTGCATCCTCATCCTGCTCTACGCCATGTACAAGTACCGTAACCGGGACGAGGGCTCCTACCAGGTGGACCAGAGCCGAAACTACATCAGTAACTCGGCCACGCAGAGCAACGGCACCCTGGTGAAGGAGAAGCAGCCGGGCACAGCCAAGACAACCACCAAGAACAAGAAGAACAAAGACAAGGAGTACTACGTCTGAGACCAGCCAGAGACAGAGGACGAAGGGAGACGCACAGAGAGAGACAGGAAGGGAGGGAGAGAGTGGAGAGGGGAGAGATGGAGGTAGAGGAAGGAGAAAGGTAAGGCAGTATATGACCTGAGAACTGTAAAGTAAGTAGTAACATCTTTGTTGGCAGAGTTTTATTTTGTTTAGTATGTAGGTTACCTTGCTGCCAAAATGACCTCCTCGCGTTCCTCCTCAACCCATTTAGAGCCTAAAGCAGAGGGAGAAAGGATGGGATTGGCACAGACACCTTTTTTTACATCTTCATTACATCTACACACAGTCCTATTTTTTCACAACTATTAAAAATATTATTGCGATTTTTCTTCAGTACAGTAATATTCTTTCTCACATAGCCTCATAAACTTTTCTTTGAAAACACAGACAGACAAAGTCTTGACTACAATGGCCACCAAATCTCGCTCAATACAATATAATTTTGTGCCAACAGCCATACCCAGATCTCATGCTACAATGGAGCTAGCTAATCCAGCACTGTTTAAAGGGTATTGTATTGTACATAGCCTACAATCAGAGTTAAGCATGGTGATTGACTATAGATAGACACAGCGAAGGAAGAACCACCATCAGTGTTTGAGCAGAGGCCTATTCGTCTGTATCAGAGGTTAAGTATCTGGTCTAAATAGCTAAAAAGCTAACATATTAAATCGTAAATGTATTGATTCTATCTACTAGATGGGTTTGTATTGGAAATTGAAACCCCACTGCTAGCCAAGTACAGTAACACCAAAATACTGCCAACAAACAGAAACTAGGTGTCAAATCTGCCTCCTTCCCTCATCCAAGTATTCAAACTTCACCTCACTTGTCTCTCGTGAAGTCTCTCCCTCTTTCTCTCACTCCTTCTCTCACTCGTGAGCGTCTTTTTCTGTCCCTGTCTATGGTCCTGAGGAGCTGATGCAACATTATTCTGCTGTGTTTCAAGCATGTAGTATTCATTTCCGAAAAATATAAACTTTCTGTGGAGAAAACACAAAAAATGATGATGATAACGTTTAACTAGCAAACCACGTGTGAGAACAACACCTTGAACCAACCAACGGATGCTACGTTTTACGTTTTAGCCGCCAAAACAACTACTGAGGCCAAAACCCTAGGTCGTCTTTCAGTTTTCCAGCAGATATCCTTAATGTGTTTTTCTTGGGGGCGCCACACAGCATTTCCCCCTACTGAGCCCACTACCGCAGAGGATGTGGCTCACGTCGTTACAGTCCTATCACACACAGACCAGAAACCAACCTCCAGCAGACAACCTGACTTTGTTCTATATAAATATATATATGTATAGACGTTTCAGAGAAAAAACCCTATGGACCTAACTGAGAGTGTATCATAAGAGGAGAAATGCACCTAATGCTCGCGCATCAGTGGACTGTGTGGACGGACGATGATGGACAATTGATACTTGACGTGAGACCGATTTCCCCCACCAATCCCCTTAATCATGCACACTTTGACCAACATTCAACGACAGTGGGAAACGCAGCCCCACTAAGGTGGAGTTTAAAAGGAAGAGTGGGACAGTGTTTTTTCGTTTGCTGTTTTTGTTTTTTAGTTTCTTTCCCTGAAAAATGAGAGACATTTGATGGAAATTGTGAATTAATTTGCTGGAGTCCCACTGTCGCCCCCTAGTGTTGGGGAGAAAGTGTACGCTACCTTGGATCTGCGTTCTTGCCTCTCATTGGTCAAGACTGATGACAGCCAATGAGGGCAAGCACAGTGAAACAGGTTCAATGGAGAGAAAAAAACACAGATCAAGGCGAACAGCAAGTTCCCTTGCAGATGTACAACAAGAACTCTAGTATTCCAATTTTCTCAACTCTATTAAAAAAGAAAACTGTACCATGAAAAGAAAAGAAAAACCTTCAAAAAAAGTTTGTGAAATGTCTAAATATTTGAATCTCATCCCATTACTAAGAAAATGTGTTTTCCCTATTACCATTCCTGTTCGGAGAAAAAATATGACAAAGATAATCAATTCTGGGAAATTTAAAATGTATATGTTATTTTTCGGTAATTAAGCAAATGTGATTTGGGTTACAAACATTAAACCTCTCCTCCATCCCTCCTACTGCCATCTCAATCCATTCTTGTCCCATGTCCATCCCTCCATCCCTCATCACCCTTTTCTCACAATGGCAGATTGTATGTAACCATTTAACTGAAGACCGCACAAGGTCTCAACCATCCACTATTTTCTATTGTTTTATTTCTATCTCTATCTATAACTGCTAGAGTCAAAATGGCCGCCATGTCTGGAGACTGACTCCATCCCACCAATCTTTTTCCTCATCCAGTTTGTCCGGTTTCTCTTTCAATCCATTGCGAAACGAACCATCCTCCTCCTCCCAGTATCTTCCTGTTCTTTCTAAATGTTATTGTAAAGTGTTCCAGTGAGATTACTCTAAATATGTGTACATTAACAGAGGGGAATACACTTGGTTATATACTTCTTCTACCTCTTGTTGCGTGGTCTGTTGGTCTCAATCAGTTAAATATATTCCAGATGTTGTGTTTTTTCAGGTTGGAAGGTGTTAATACTTATTTTAACACTCCTACTTTAACCTGTACATAACACTTACCAAAGTGTCTCTTAGTTCAACTTACATAAGTATTCTAGCTGCTGCATTATACAGTGAGGGAAAAAAGTATTTGATCCCCTGCTGATTTTGTACGTTTGCCCACTGACAAAGACATGGGCAAACGTACAAAATCAGCAGGGGATCAAATACTTTTTTCCCTCACTGTAGATACTAATGAGGCTAGATATTAATGGTGTTATTCCGGCATTTGTTCATCACACTTTTTAAAAGTCATTGTACGAGTTTATGTATGACACACAGGTATCCATTTATACACATACACCAATATCATCACAACATAACAAGAAGCCTGTCTGCCTTCCAAGATGCATAAACGGCGAGTGGAAGAGGCCATAAAGGTGCTGCATTGCTTCCTAACCTACACACATAAGTCATAATGTATACCAGCTGAAATCCCATATTCCCTTATAATGAGCACACACACTATGAAGAACATCTGGCTTCCAACCCCAGAGAGGTGAATGTTCCACTGGTAGTGATGATAATCCTCTCATAATCCTGGAGGTATTTCATCTGACCAAGACCTGCGCAAGGAACACAAGGACACAGGTAAGAGTTATTGGGGTTAGAGGAAGATGAAGTCTCTCTTCTTACAGTGGCCTCCAACGATGGACTCTTCCTTAGATGATGTACATCTGGAGTAAGGTCATCTGGAGCAGGGTAGGTCAGGGTTTCCCCAAACTTGGTCCTGGGGCCCCCCCGGGTGCACATTTTCCCTCCAATTCTTGTTGGTGTTTCCTCTCCATTTCATCATCCCTTGTTCCTTCCATCCCTCCTTCTCTTCTTTCCCTCGCCGTGGCCGTTTGCTCCCGCCTTCCCAATATGACAGGTCCCCTCAAACATTACCACTCCTAACTCGTCTGGAGAAGTGAGAGAGCTTTGCACCGACGCTAAATCCCTTCTTTTTTTTCTCTGAAAATACTCATGTTTGTTCCTCCTGAGCTTGCTTCGCTCTGCATTCATCAAAACGTCTATGGCGTCTTTATTTCCCCCATGGCTACGCATTGTTGAGAAAAGCGATCCGGTAAACAAGCCTCAAAAGCAGCCGTCACAAGGAATACAGCATCGCTTCCCTCAATGTGCCATCAGCTCTGACATCATCTGAAGCAGCCGCCGTGGCATGTAAAATTAGTGTGTGTTACTCTGTGCGTGTTTGCGTTCACGAAGGGACTTCAGTCCCACTTTCTTGTTTATTCACTTGGTTCTCTGAGTCAGATGCTCAAATGGCTTGTGTGATGTACAATGTGTGGGTGTTCCCCCAGGCACAGTGTTTTAAATGACAGAGGAGCATCCCTCAGGGTTAGGAGTTGTACCGTTGAAGAGAACAGGGCAGGTTATCCTTCTAGTCTATTACCAGTAAAGGGATTTGGGGCAGGGACTCGTCAGTGCTATTTGATTGGCAGGCCATGATAGAATTCTGGGTATTGTTTTGCTAACATGCCATCAAAGATGCAGTGACATCGTGTCCCATATTGCCTTGTGAAATAATTAGAGAAATGGCAAAAAGGAATATAAATAGGTATTCCTGTGCGTGTGTGCACACGTGGTTGTATGTGTGTCTCAGTTCCCAGTGCCACTAACAACCCAGCTATCTGAAATGTTAAAGCTGATCTACCCCCACTATATATATACATTACCAGTCAAAAGTTTGGACACACCTACTCACTATTTTCTACATAGTGAAGACATCAAAACTATGAAATAACACATATGGAATCATGTAGTAACCCAAAAATCGATAAACAAATCAAAATGTATTTGAGATTTGAGACTCTTCAAATAGCCACCCTTTGCCTTGATGACAGCGTTGCACACTCTTGGCATTCTCTCAACCAGCTTCATGAGGTAGTCACCCAGAATGCATTTCAATTAACAGGTGTGCCTTCTTAGAAATTAATTTGTGGAATTTCTTTCCTTCTTCATGCGTTTGAGCCAATGAGTTGTGTTGTGACAAGGTAGGGGGGGTATACAGAAGATAGACCTTTTTACATTTTAGTCATTTAGCAGACGCTCTTATCCAGACAGACTTACAGATAGTGAGTGCATACATTTTATATTTTATATACTATTTGGTAAAAGACCAAGTCCATATTATGGCAAGAACAGCTCAAATAAGCAAAGAGAAACGACAGTCCATCATTACTTTAAGACATGAAGGTCAGTCAATACGGAACATTTCTTCAAGTGCAATCGCAAAAACCATCAAGCGCTATGATGAAACTGGCTCTCATGAGGACCACCACAGGAATGGAAGACCCAGAGTAAAGAAAAACCCTTGAATGAGTAGGTGTGTCCAAACTTTTGACTGGTAGTGTATATATAATAAATAAATAAACAGCTTCAGTGTGCTGA